CCCCGGAGATCTCGGAGATTCGTATCCTGCCGAGTACACACACAAACAGGGACACTACCCAATAAAGTAAAAGATAATCGCACGCAGGCTAACCTACCAAAATTTCATTCGTATCTACTCGATTCCAAATACCCAACTCCACNTAACGTCGACATCTCACACCTAGTAGATAACACTGTTTCCCAATGTGGGAATGCCCGATATTGCTTCAGCGTAGCCATATGTTGGCGCTTATTATACATACCGATACAATTTTACCAGGAATGTCTTGCCCTATTTGCATATCCAGAAAGTGTGCTGATTCCCCACACTGTTCTTGGGTAACGCGAACGGGGTTGTCTATCTCATCACCATTCGAATCTAACACCATCGTTGGGTACATACCACCATATTGATTACCCTCCTTATATACAATATCTTCAAATAAATGTTGGTCCAGTTTAGTTACCATATCGCACCGTAAAAATGTCATCTATATACCGTTTTGTACCAATGCTGTATTGCTCAATAAATTCAAATGGATACAACGATGTAGTCCCAGCGTGTGTAGCAGTTAAATACTCATCCACCATTTCCTTCAAAAAATCGAATTCATGCATAAACGCAAAAATATTCGCTAGTTCGGGAGCTGGTGCCGTTCCCATAAAGATATCAGAGGCTGGTGGTACATGCCGTTCCCAAATTGTACAAATCCTTTATCCAAAATAAAATTTATCCATTTACAGACCCGTTCCCATCCAATGTAATTCGCTCGACCTCTGCTAGATGTTACGTTGTTCGGGTTTCCCTTCGACCACTCGATGTCTCTAACAAATGGTGTCTTATTGTCAGGCCCAATACCCCATCTCAACTTCATCGACTTAAACCCATGTCTCTCAGCTTGGTGTTCAAACGACAATTTCAAAGCTTCCCTCAATTTTTCCTTCAATGGTACTACAGGGATATTAGGGTACATACCAACGAAGTCAAATGTTTGGAAGACATGCGCATCAATACATCCCTCCATTTGTGCTCGAATATCGATATCCTGTGCTACTTCTAGAAGACTTTCCCCGCTAGAGGTAATCCAACATTCCTTGGCAGCAGTACCAACTTTTGCGCATTCTTCACGCCAGATCGTGTGTAAACAAGGCCGGATACCAACCAGGACTGCGTTGACTACCTTAGCCACCCCTTCTGTTATCGTACCACAACAAGCCGTAATTCCACGTGTCGCTACCAACGGCTTATTATGTAGTTTCGCAGTGAGGTATCGTGTGGGTTACTTCTCAGTGTTTTCATACTGAGTGTCACCATCCTCGTCTTTGTACTGCTGCTGTGGGATGGGCAACTTTTCATCTAGCAAAAACTTGTGTTGTCGGTCAATTGTCGTCTGTTTCACCAGCTCCAACTCTCCGTGTACTGTATATCCCGGTCCTTCAAGTTCTGCTTTGGCTAACCTAATATAGCACGCCTTGCAAGTGATACAGATGCAGTTGGCCGCTTTGTCGACTCTCGTAAACACCACCTTCTTGTGCAATTGTTGAAAAGATGTCCTAGCTGCAGCGAAATCTATGTGGCCCGTAAGAGGCTTAGCAACTTCCCCCTTGTCCGCGTCAGTCACTGTTTGTTCTATCGCGTCGTACAAAGTATCCTCCCAGTCCTCAATGTTATCGCGTGGCACTTTGAGTTCATGACATAAATCGCCAATGTACGATTCGATGGCGTCTGTGAGCGATTCAAAGAAAGAGAGGTCATTCAAGGCTTCAGCATATTCTGCTCTAAAACCAGCTTGCAGGTTTAGCACAGCTGCAGCGTTGTCATCCTGAAGACATCCGGCATCTGTGGTAATCAAACATTTGGAACCATCCTTGGCAACAACCGTGTACTGACTCCATTGGGGGTCTTTGCAAATGCATCTATATTTACCATGATTTACATCTCTCGCTACGTTGGTGGTATTGAACATCATACTATCTAGGGTATCACCATACCTGAAACAAGGGATAATACGTTGTACAGCGTCACGGAATGCACGGTTGTTGGGGGGGCATGTACGCTAAAATATTTGCCCGCATGAACATCCCACGGAGCCCCAAGGAGTCTGCAACAGAACTAGTAAAACCAATCACTACCAGTTGAGGTACCTTACATTGTTTAACCAGCGGAGGGGGGATAGTCGCGAGGTATGCTTTGCGTAGTACCTGGAACGCTAAATGCACATCCTCTGTGATACCCACCTGCCCTACATACCTAACCATGCGCAGCATGTTTTTTGGTGCTAGCGCTTTGATGTAGGCATCGACTTTGTAAGGCTTGTACTGAATTAGCTTGGCAAGGTACTGTATTCGTCGTTTCCAGTCACGGGACCGGAACAACCTCGTCTGGCAACCCCCATTTTTTGTAGTCTTGCGTGCTTCGTGTCTAGACCGTTTGATCGGTCGCGTACCAAAACCATGCGAAGGCAAACCTGGGCTAGGGGGCATGCAATTTCTCTCTTGGTATTGTAACCATTTCTGACAGTGTCCATGCATGCAATCCAGGAATTCTCCCTCTGCCGCCAGTGTAATAGTGTGCCAGACCTATGGCCTTCCGGCAAGTAACGGGGGAGTGTCTCGAGCTCGAAAACCGCAAACTTAGTCCAATCGAGGTCAAGTGTCCTACCCAACCGGTCTCCGGTACCTAAATGCCCCGCGAATCTTGCATACGGATTATTATCGACCGTGCGTCCCACATATTTCAGACCATTCGACAAGTTCACAATAGCGTATATGGTGACTGTGTTCTTGCGGGGGAGTGGTCTCCCACTATTGCTGTCTTCCCCGGATGAGGTCCATATGGGGTATGGCCTGCCACACCGTTGGGGTTCGTATGCACCAACAGGGATATTCCCTTTGTCTTTTGCAGTGGCTAGCCAGGTGTCTCGTCTTATCCATAGCGGGTAGCATTGTGGGTGGTTGCTTTCCGACGCCTGTTTCGATCGCTCG